CACGTATACGTACATGCGTAGATAAAGCCTAAGTAATTTGTAGGCTGTACTCGTGAGAACAATGTTTTCTTTTTTTTGTACTTCTTTAAGGCATAGGCAACCAATAATCTCTTCAAAGAGTCTACTGGAATCTTTCCCAATCAATCCGAGGTCTCCAACTACAGCAGGGATTGTTGATGTTCTCATGGCCCACATTTTTGAGATTTCGATTTCAAGGTCCTTGTATTTTGATAGCTTTTTTTAAAAAATATTTTTATTATTATTATTATTTTTATTTTCTTTGATTTCTGGCGTTTACACATTTCTTTCCGGGTCCCGCCCAGGGACTTAAGGTTAGAAATGGCGTCATGACACTTTCCACTGACAAAAAAAAAAAAAAAAAGATTACATAGATAAATCCCTTCGTAAGGTGTGGGCTGTACTTGTCAGAACAATTTTCTGTATCTCCTTGAGGCATGGACTTCCAGGAATCCTTCAATTAGTCTACTGGAATCTTTTCCAACCAGTCCTAGGGCTACAACTACAACAGGGATTGTTGATGTTTATATGCCACATTTTCAAGATTTCTATTTCAAGGTCCTTGTACTTTGACAACTTTTTTGAATATCTTCAAAGATACATTGCAGTCAGCAGGGACAGCCATATCAATAAGGAGGCACCGTTTTTGTTTGTGGTCTTTAATAACAATATCTGGGCGGTTGGCCTTGATTGTTCTGTCAGTGTGTATTGTGTAGTCCCATAGAATTGTAACAGGTCCTATCTCCGTAACCGGGTCTGGGTGGTGTTCATACCAGTTTCTTTCAGTTTTCTTCCCGTAGAAGTTGCAGATTTTCCAGTGCAGATATTGGCCCACTCTGTCATGTCGGGTTTTATATTCAGTGGGTGCCAATATCGTGCAACCTGATACAAGATGATCAATCGTTTCTGGATATTTATCACAGAAATCTGCATTTTGGGCTGACACAATATTTTAGTATATGTGCTTGATACTTCCTAGTTATTATTATTATTATTATTATTATTATTATTATTATTATTATTATTGTTGTTGTTGTTATTTCTCTTTGGCTTCTCGCTTTGCTATCCTTTGCATTCGTCGTAATTTCATTGCGACTTCTTCATGGAAGCGGCAGGCTGATAGCTGTCGAATTAATAGTATCCGGATTTTCTTTCATATTTGTTCTTGCTTACTGACGTGTCTTTGTGCAAAAATTAATTGACAAATAAATAAATAAATAAGTATAAAATTGTACTTAAATGTTTCTCCATTGATTCTATCCCGCTTAACGCTTGTCTCTCACCCCTCCAACCATAAGCGCCTTATCATTATTTAACAACAACAACAATAATAATAATAATAATAATAATAATAATAATAATAATAACAATAATAAAAAGAATAATCTTCTGCAATCATTTTCCCATTATTATTATTATTATTATTATTATTATCATTATGTCTTTCATCATTTATGCTTCCTTTTCTCCCTATACATTTTCATTTCAATATTTGTTGTTGTTGTTATTGGTCTTCTTCTTCTTCTTCTTCTTCTTCTTCTTCTTCTTCTTCTTCTTATTCTTTCTTTTTCTTCTTCTTCTTCTTCTTTTAAGTTCTCTTCTTTCTTCCCCTTCCTCCTCCTTTTTCCATCACCATCAGCACTATCATCATGAACTTCATCAACTCGTTCTTCATCTCCTCCCGATTCTTCTACGCGGTTCACTTTGTTCTTTTTTCTTCCTCTTTTTAACTTTTGTCGCCGCCGTCATCATCATCGTCGTTATCATAATCATCATCATCGTCATCATCATCAAAGTTTTCTTCTTTCCATTTTTTTTTCTTTCTTTTTCTTCCTCCCACTTATTTTTCTTCCTCCCACTTATCATCATCATCATCATCATCATCGTTTTTCTCTTCGCCCTCGTTTTCTTTAGTCATTTATTATTATTATTATAATTTTTATTATTATTATTATCAGCACCATCAAAAAAAAAAAAACTTCATCATCTCGTTCTTCATGTCTTCCCGATTCTTCTACCCTTTTCACTTTGTTCTTTTTCTTCCTTTTCCTTTCGTCGTCGTCGTCGTCATCATCATCATCATCATCATCATCATCATCATCATCATCATCAAAGTCTTCTTCTTCTTTCCATTTCTCTTTTTCTTTTTCTTCCTCTATCATCATCATCATCATCATCATCATCATCATCATCACCGCTTTTCTCTTTGTTTTTTCTTTGCCCTCAATTTCTTTAGTCATTTATTATTATTATTATTATTATTATTATTATTATTATTATTATTATTATTATTATCAGCACCGTCATCATCATCTCGTTCCTCAGATCCTTTATCATCTACCCTGTTGACTTCTTTCTTTTTCTTCTTCTTTTTCTTTCGTTATCATCGACGCCGTCATCATCACCGCCATCATCAACGTCTTCTTCTTCTTCTTCTTCTTCTTCTTCTTCTTCTTCTTCTTCTTCTTCTTCTATCAGTTAAATCTGACTCATGCCTGTAGCGCCTCCCTACTAGAAGCAACAACACGCCCGAAATTCCCGTATACCTACTGACAATCATTTTGTAAATCCACCCTGCACCCCCCTGCTATTATGAAAGTGTCAAATTTTATCAATCATGAAGTGTAAACTGAGTCAAGTTTGGTTTGGTTTCCGAATATGACGTCGGCGGAGGCGCTTAGGGGGTCGAGCGGGGTCGTTGCATGATTTTGAATTGTGTGTATTAGGGACGGTAGAATGGGTGGGGCATGGGCAACAAGAGAAAATCTCAAGGCTTCTCCCGGAGTGAAACGTCCATCCGCGATAACGTTGTTGCGGGGTGTGTGTGGGGGTACCTAATTATTTTTACACATACACACACAACGAGACATGTAGACAAATACACACACACAGAGACACACATACACGTAATATATATATATATATATATATATATATATATATATATATATATATATATGTATACACGCACAGACACACATGCAAAAGCGCTAATCAACTGACTGAATCAACAAGCTGAGCGGATCGACTCTGAATTCGAACTTGCGTTCGGCTTGAATAGGTTAACGGTGGGGACAGGCTGGTGAGTGTTAACAGGGTGGAGTGCGCTTGTGAAAATCGAGGTAAGTTTGAGAATTCTGAGGCTGTGTCACGGGTTGAGAAAATAGAAATAGCGCCGGAAGAAGAAGAACAAGAAGAAGACGACGAAAAGGAAAAGGAGGAAAAAAGATAGCGAAAGAAAAAAGAATGAAGAAGATATAACGAAAGAAAGAGGAAGAAGAGGATAATGAAAGATAAAAGGAAGAAGAATAGTGAAAGAAAAAGGAATTGGAAGAAAGAAAATAAAGAAAAAGAAGACGAAAAAATGAAGATAACAAAAGGAAAATTAAGATGGAACGAAAGAAAAAGGAAGAAGAAACTAAAGAAAGAAAATGTAAGAAGAAGAAGAAAAAGATAACCAAGGAAAAATGAAGAAGAAGAAGAAGAAGAAGAAGTAGAAGAAGATGGGGTGAAAGGAGAAGATGATGAAAAGGAAGAAGTTAATAATAATGAAAGAAAAATGAGGGAGAAAAAGAACAAAGTAAACAGCACAGAAGGAGGAGGAGAAGAAAATGGAGGAGGAGGACATAATGAAAGAAGCTATGATGAATATGATGATGGGGAATATGATGCGGCTGCTGATAACGATATAATAATAATAATAATAATAATGTCAAAAAAGGAGGGGAAAACAAACAGAAAAAGCCGCAAGAACAAGAAGATGATGATGATGATGATGATGATGATGGAAAAGAAGAAGAAATAAAAAATAAAAGAATCGGGAGTACTAATACTACTACTACTAATAATAATATTTTATTGACTATTGTCACTGTAATTAAATGTTAAGATATTTCTTTGAAAAAAAATTGTGCTAAGCTTAAAATACGTTAAATGCGAAACGCTTTTGCGTAATTTCATCGGTTTTACTGATTTGTATTATTTTTTTATTATCGTTAATATTATAAAAGTAATATATAAAAAAAGTTATATGTTAATTTTTCAGGTAAATCAATTTTGTGCTCTGAAAGTGGCAACTACCATAGCGTTTTGATCACGATTTTGGGGCAAATTGGAAACGCAATGTATAAAGGAAGTATGCAATGTTGATGTTTTTGAGGGCATATTTGAACACATAATAAATTAAGTTATATTTATATATTATATAAATTATGTTATTATGAGATATCGTGTTGGTAATAAACAATTAGCAAAAATAATAAACAACCGGAAATAAACAATTAGCAAAAATGATAAACAACCGGAAATAAAAAATTAGCAGAAAAATACTAAACAACCGGAAATAAACAATTAGCAGAAAAATAATAAACAACCGGAAATAAACAATTAGAAAAAATAATAAACAAACCGGAAATAAACAATTAACAAAAATAATAAACAGCTGGGAATAAACAATTAGCGAAAATAATAAACAACTCTGAAATAAACAATTAGCAAAATTAATAAACAACCGGAAATAAACAATTAGAAAAAATAATAAGCAACCGGAAATAAACAATTAGCAAAAAAATAATAAACAACCGGAAATAAACAATTAGCAAAATTAATAAACAACCGGAAATAAACAATTAGCAAAAATAATAAACAAACGGAAATAAACAATTAGCAAAATTAATAAACAATCCGGAAATAAACAATTAGCAAAATTAATAAACAACCGGAAATAAACAATTAGCAAAATTAATAAACAATCCGGAAATAAACAATTAGATAAAATTAATAAACAACTGGAAATAAACAATTAGCAAAATCAATAAGCAACCGGAAATAAACATTTAGCAAAAAATATTAAACAACCGGAAATAAACAGTTAGTATCGGAATACTATAATGATGAAAATTTCGATAAATTTTTTTTAAGGGAGACATAAAACTCTGAAAGATACTAGTGCCACGCGCAAAGGAGTATATAAAGGACTTCCATCGGGCAAGGATGCGTCTCATTGTTATTTTCAATTATAATAGAAAATATAGTTCTCTGTTTGTCACACCCTGTCTTTTTGGATGCGAAATGTATATTCGTGTCTTTGTGTTGTCGAGATTGATTTACACATTTTGAGTTTGAAAATTACACTGGGATAATGCATTCCCATCCAATTTATTCCACCTTGAATGTCACTGTGAACCACAATTGTGAGATGGGAGGAATTCTAACTAAATTAAAAAAAAAAAAATGTGTATATTTAGTATAGTATATTTGTAATGTGGTTATCATATGCTCTCACCGAAGCTACAGTGGGCTATGAAAAGTTTTTAACTGACGTTGATTACAGCAATTTTGGCTTGTGTAATAACGTCTCTTCTTTTTTCAGACAATAACATGTTAGTATTGAGCTACTTTCGTCTATGAAAGATAGTTGACTTATATTTTAAAATGAAAATTCTCGGAAGTAAGGAATTTGGTGAATTTCAACGAAGGCAAATAATAGGATGGCATCATTGTGACAAGTCAAATAGAAAAATGGCTAGGTTTTTCCAGGTTAATCATCAAATGGTTAATAATATTGTCAAGAAATTTAATGAAGGCCATTGTCTTGTGGAACAACGTTCACAAAGACCAAGCATCGTGTCTGACCGAGTTAAAAGGCCGTTGAAGAAGGAAGTCATCAGGAATCGTCTTCAGAGCGTCAAAGATGTCACCAACAGCATGGAAATGTCGCCATATATGTTGAGAAAGATTCTGAAAGAGCTAGGCTATCAAAGAAGAGTTGCAAGGAAGAAGCCCTTGATTTCAGCGGCTAACAGGAACATGCGTATGGACTGGGAGAGAGAATTCGAGAGCAAAGATGATGAAATTTGGCAGTCTGTAATTTGGTCAGATGAAAGTAAATTCTGCCAATATTCGAATTCGAGACAGGTTTATGTTTCGGGAAATCAGAATGAGACTTGGAACACTGAATGTCTACAGGCGACCGTGAAACATGAAGGGATTGGAGTAATGGTGTGTGGCGCTGTCTGGTTTGGAGGGAAATCTGAGCTGATTCTTGTTGATGAGCGGTTGAATGGTCCAAAATAATGTCGAATATTAGAGAAAGGTCTACTCTCACTATTAGAAATCAATCAGATTGATAAGAATGTCTACCATTTTCAAGAAAATGGAGTGCGATTTAATACAAGCAAAGTAGCAAAAGCCTGGAAGGAATCTCAAGGAATCAAGTCACTGCCACGAGTAGCGTAAAGTCCTGATATGAATCCAGTAGAGCATGTTTGGGAGCATCTTGATCGAAAATTCGAGAGCATGCAACCAAAATCACATCAGTGGCAACCCTTAAAGAAACATTGCTAAAGGAGTTGCAAAATATGGCTCAGGCATTTGTTGCTAACTTGATCAAATCCATGAAAAATCGAATACAAGCACTGAAACTAGCAAATGGAGGACCTACTCTAAACTAGTTCCAAATGCTGTTAATTTATGTTGAGGTGGGATTAAGTAATTAAAGTTTGAAATTGGATGTAGTTTATTTCTCCTGGCTATAAACTTTTCTTAGGCCACTGTACCTAGCAATAAATTTTGATTATTAAAAGGTTTATAAAAGGAAACATGAAACATGTTATGAACAGCATAACATCAATGTATTTAGAGATCTCTGAGAAAAAAAAAACCCAAAGAATCTGCAATGATACCGGTCCCAACGTGGCATATCAGCTTGCTTTCTACCTTAACCTCTGCATCCTTGAACAATTTTAACCCTTTTGCCTGAGCTCCTGAGTCAAAATTCGCAAATAATTGGTATGTAATGTTTTACAGTAGATAGAAAAATAGTTACAAGTGTTTACCCACCGTTTAACCTGTGGCTGGGCATTACGTCATTTTTCTTTACCCTTGTTTAACCGGTGGCTGGGCATTACGTCATTTTTCACTAATAAAAGAGCTGGTAAATCTGTGGTTAGGGCCGAAAGGTTTAATATAGCTTTTATTGTAGAGAGCTATCACCCCTTAAGCACTCTACCATATAGCCTTGCTCATAGCTTTAAATAGTTTACAATTAAGGACTTCAATACTTGATTAATAAGTTGATACTAAGCTGATTAATATTCGGACTGATCTTGCTTCGTTTGGCTATACAGCATTTGACCCTCCTCTTTTCCTTGTATGTTGTCTTGTTAATTGCTTTGTAACTTATTTTTCTGTGTCTTTTGTATGTATCCGTTAGCACTGGATACTGGTGCTGAATGAATATATTAAGCACTTATTCTTCTCTGTGTATCATCCACTTCGACGATACAACAGCATTCCTGTGCTTTTTCTATAAATATTTTGAGGTAATCCTTCTGGTGTGTTTTCATCTATGGAACCGCCATTTTACGAATGTAAGCGCAATACTAGATTGTCATTTAGGTATCGGCATATTAGGTTGTCCTAAAAGTTCGTAAACACTTGCAAAAAATTGAAATTTTACTCGCCGAGTAATAACAAAAACAA